TTTTGTCAAACCGAGCAACAAGGTCAGACAGTTGTTCTTCAGATCGTAGATACATTTGTTCTTGTCGTTTCCATTGCTGATCGTTTTGGAATTGCTCGTGATTTCGTTGATGTTGTTGCTGGAAGGACTGCTGCTGCTGATGGCGGGTCTCTGGGTATTGTTGTTGGTCTGTCGTCTGTATGGTTTGTGTCCGTAACCTATTGCTGGTTCCCAGTGAAGGGAATTGGTTCTGGTGCAGGTTCGCAGGCTGCTGCAACTGGGATCGGCCACCCTGTTGGTTTTGGTGACGAGAATGACCATTGGTGACATTTGCGTACGACAGAGCTCCAACGACATGCGATCGAACAGTAGTCCTTTTGGTAGAGGTTTCTTGGGGAAGAGCGTTACCCTGGGATGAAAGATTTTTTCGGCGTCTTACTGTCTGCTGGTAGACAACATAGCCCTTGTAGTTTGCTGTGTGATTTTCACCACAATTAACACATTAAACAGGATGAATATCACGTTCGCAGGCCTCTATGGCATGTTTCTGACCACAACTAACACAGTTATGATCCAGAAAGCAGTTGTTTTTTGTATGGTGAATGTCCTGGCAACGATGGCATTGTACGACATCATCCTTTTTGTACGGTAATTCCACTTGAACACGCTGGCGACATAGAGTCTTAACTTCGTGGATTTCCTTGTTGGTTGGAGATGGCTCTAGTTAAGCAGACACTAGGTTGACGAACTTTGATTTGTCGAAACGGCTTTTTGGTCTATTGATGAAGCGAACATTATGGCCAAGCAAGGTAAGGCTTTCTTTGATGTGTTCGCCCGGAGTGGAGTGATGAACACCTCGAATAACCACGCGATAAGATCTGTCCTCTTTAAGCTGCCAGGAGTGGAACGGGACCTTTTTTGAAATTAAATATTTACTGATTGCTCTATAAGCGTCTGAATCTGCAGAAAGGATCAAAACAGAATTGTTGGAATGACATTTTACGGAGTGTTTAGACGGGTGTACGATTTTATCTATGGATCGAATAAGCCCGTTCAGATTCTCGCAGTTATTGATTACAATCGGCGGTGGCTTGTGATTGGGTGGGTGTTTGTTAGTAGCATTGTCGATACTGTTGTTGTTGGATTGACTTCTGTTGCGTTCGACGTTGTTGTTGTTACCGGAGCTGCCGTGGCTTAAGCCTGTGCTGGTACTGGCCTGATCAGGGTTGTTAACCAACTGGCTGACTGTTTGGTAAGCTTGTAGATATTCTTCGGTTGTGTCCATGTCCGAAAGCTCAGCAAATCGGTTGGCGGACTCAGTGGTTTTGGGAATAGTGGAATTTCTCTGCACTTTATTAGCAGAATTGGGAGACCTGGACTCTGGACGGCGTTTTTTGTTCCTTGGGGTCCACCAGTCTTCACCGTCGCCGGCTATGGCTTCTAGCTCGGGTTCAATGTCATTAGATGGTAAAGGCTGGGCGTTGATGGAACTGGCTTTATAAATGCTGCTAAATTTTTGTAACGAGGAATTAAGACCATTAGTCATAGTCTGTTGCGCCTTAACCACCTTTGAATGGATGTCGAGTTCGGATTCGGTGTCCGACATTGTAGGCATATTGGAAGCTGTGCACTGCTTTGTACTGCTTTACCGACTTCCAGTTGACAAACCCTTTTAGAGTAGGTTCCACGAAAGCAGTCGTAGCCTAGTGGGCAAGGTGTGCACCTTGCAGCCGGGAGGCACTGGGTTCAGTACGGGGAGCGGATGCCTGTATTTTTTTTAAATTTTATTTTATTGAGTTTATAAATAATTTGAATTCGAATTTGAATTCGAAGTAGCGGTGATTTGCCAGATCAACAAATTGCAACTGTTGCCTTAGGTCTCTTCACTTGTTTTCGCGATTCACCAGAGCTAACGGAGAGTCTGAGCACAGTCACTGCTTCAGCTTTAGCTGCCGGATTTACAAAAACAAATTGATTTGCCACGAAGGTGGACTTGTCCATAGAATCTTCACAAAGAATTTCGCAGCAATGCAAAAACGCGTCTGCACTCCACGAAAGCATGATCGAGACTGCTTCCATGTGCCTTATCCTGCTTTCCATTTCATCATTACTGGTTTTCATCACGTTTATCGTGCTTTCTAAAATCGAAGTTTGATTTTTGAGCAGATGCGTTTTGTATAATTCCTTTGCTTGGATCTTTCAGATGTTCCTTCATGTTTTGTGCATATTAAGAGTCTAGTACTCCAAATAGCCCGTTGGTGAGATTTCCTACCAGATTCAGGGACCCTCTCCGTTGTCGATGATGATCGAACAGTTGTTGACCATTATATAATTCACTGGCGTCTTGTTCGAGCACATGTGTTATTGTTGGACAAGATCCGCTTCGGAGGCAAAATGCTGATAACTCTTCGATATTCTTCTTAAATGCTGCGATTTCCTGCGGCAATAACCGTAGATCGTAGTTGTAGTTCCTAGCCCATAGTTCGGCAAAACGAAGAGCAGCAGGATGGGATTTCTGAAACAAGTGCGCAACCAAAAATAACCACATTTGTTAAGAGGCCTGTTTCGAAAACAAAATGCAGTGCCTTGAGAAGCAGGTGGTTCGCATGATTGCTAAAGGTCAACACGCTTTTCGATTGGTAGAAGAACCGGATTTCAAAAAAATGTATTTCGGATGTTTCAAATTGCCCTGGTAATAGCCTTCCAACCAGGAAAACTTTAACCAATGTGTTGATTACAAAACAACGCGATGAAGCTAGGGAAAACATATCGGAAAAGCTTCGTGAGGCAACACTGCACTGCCTGACAAATGAAAGCTATATGGCCATCACTGTGGCCGTCATGGACAAAGAGTCGAAAAGCCTTTGCTCATATATGATAGCTTGTCGATCATTCCCACTGAGGCACAATTCGGAAAATCTTTGCGGATTTTTCGGAGCAGTCATCCTGGATTGGATTTTAAAAAACAAGGAAGAACGCTTTAGTCGAGTCCCTCGACTATCAGATACCCGTTACTCAGCTAAAGGGATCAAAGGGAAATGGAGATATGCAAGCAGCAAAGCGAGATTAAAATACGCCACATACCGGCGGTAGACAGATTTAAGCGTTACGGGCGTTAGAGCCAAATTCCCAAATAACAACGGAAATCTCCTTTGAAGCGAACGTGACATTGTCGAAAGTTATTGTGCTATCTGGCATTTTGCTAGATAAGATTGCGAGCATGATGACATTGGCCACAAATAAAGAAATTGTGAGTTTAACAAAGAGAAACAAATGCTCGCTTTCATGATTATGAGTCGAACACTTTGTGCGCTGAAAGCACTATATTGGACCCCAGATTCGAAGGGCGAGTGTTTAAATCATAAGACTCATACAAAAAGGCACTAGATGGCTTAAAAAATAAATTTATGCCAATGGGTTTGGCCACTGCTAAGTCTGAATCTGCCGTAAAAGATAATGCCTGCCAAACCGAACACAATGAAGATGATGACATTTGGAATGATTTTGACAACACTTTACAAAAAGTCAATAAGCCCACCAAACAGCGCTAACGCAGTTATTAAAAAACTGTATAAATAGTAACCGAGGAATATATAATGCGAAAAGATGATTCATTGGCTTGGTGGGAAAAAAAAAACCAGTCTGCACCGTCCAGCCTGACAGTGGTACCAACTTGCTCGAACTTTAAAATACCAAATTTCTGAGTAGTTATCGAAAAATTTTGTTAACGAAACGAACGGTACTTAGTATTGTAGTAAAAAATAAAACTTATTCCTAGTAAACAATTCATGTTAAAAGAAGTTGTAGTTATTGAGAAAAATTATAAAAACCTTTCGCCTTTGAAAAATGGTGGCAGCACTGTCGTGACAAATGCTTTTTGTCGGCTATGAAGAAGAAGAAAACATGTAAGTAAAAGTAAACAAATTTTGTTTGTTATTAATTTAAACTAATATACTTTGCTAATTTTCAGTGGTAAACATAGGTCAGCAGCACATTGCAAAGGACTTACTCGAGGCGACCGCGTTCTTGTGACCACTGTTTAGAAGGACCTATCCAGGGAGTTAAATGCTAATGGACCACCATAATACCGCTGACGGGTGGCGCCAAATTGGTTTGGTCGAATTTTATGAATTTTGGTAAAAGAATCCTTTCCATTAAGGTAAGAACATCCCACAATATTCTGCAAACTGTGGATCGAAAAGGGGCCATGTCCGAGTCTTTCCCAAATACTCTTTGAAAGGAGCCAACTGCCAGGAACGGCAGAACCGTGGCCAGCTGGAACAAGGGCGGGATTGACGATTTCGGGATGTGCTCCTCAATCAGATGAAACACCATCATAAATGTATGTTTATCAAGACGAAAATTGTGCCGAAACCTAAAAGTTACAACAATATTTAAAGTTCCAGCGAAAAATATGACTTTAAATTATCTTAAATCCATCTGGTTGCGAAAGAAAATCGGAGGAGCCTCTAAGGATTTTCCTCTGCATCCTAGCATCTCGAAGTTTTTGTCCTCGCAACTACTCTAGAACAAAAATTCCTGCAGATTTTTTTTTTAATGCTTTGCTATTTATTTATTGAATCTTCTCCCTTTCGACACAAACAATAAGTGTATCAAATCTTAAACTAATTAATCTAACAAACAGTAATATGACTGATATTGTGTTAAAGGGGGCCCGAAAGTTATTGCTGACTTGGCAAGTCGTCAAGCCTCTTGTGAGGCGATTGAGGTGCGATTCATCTTTTATTGATCGTATGTCTCGTTCGTTGATAACGTACAACTCCGTCGTGTTGGGAGTCGCGTGCGTTTGACCCGTGCTGCGCAACCTTGCTATACCGAGCCGAGCAACTTGGTTACGAACATTCTCCTCCCCATTGACGGGTTCGTTAATAAACGCGAAGTGTAGCTAATATTTGGCAGTTGTCGATATGCTGCTCGTCTCTTATACGGATCTCGTGTTTCAGTTCGCATGCGAGGTGAGGGCTAACCGTCTTGCACAAGGACTGTGTTTCTTTACCCAAATGGTCCCAAAATGTTTCGTCGAGGAGACAAACTGTGGATACGTAGTCCGATTGGTTTTGTTTGGCGTAACCTAGAATATCCAGCTGATCGCGCCGTCCAACTTCATCCTGTCCCTCGTCCTTTCTCTTATTGGCGTGCTGTCCTAGCCTTGCAACGTAGCAACAGTCCTATTTTACGTGCTGATGTGTCATCTTGGGAAGATGATACAGATTCCGATGTTGAATGCGATGTGCTTGTGAGCTTTTTTACCCGACTCATTGGTATTGGAGAAGCGATGCTCTGTTCCGCGGCGTTCTCTTGGTGGAACATGCATGTTATGTTAATCCTTTAGGGTCTACAAATGGTCTTTTGTTCAGCTTGAATGGCCGCCAGAGCGCATTGCAATTGCTCATTCGCTGGACCTAACGTTGTTTGTTTGACATTGCACATCACAGGTCCTTTTGACATTTTCGTGCACTGCATCAGTACCTCCATGGTTAATGCGAAATGTCGATCTCGATGATCACTAATCGTTAAATACTTGGTCTCCGTCTTCTTTGCGATTATCTGATGTTGCATTACTACCGGAATCGGTGTCAAATGATATACATCGTACTCCTCTTCATCAACTAATGGTATCTTAGTATGGAATATCAGGGTATCGTCCAATTCCAGAACTTCTGAGACCATCACCTGATAGATAACATGCAGAGTATCTTATGTAACAGGTAGTCATCTCCCATTGGGGAGATGGGCCTGAATGTTTATAAGCTCATTTTAAAGCTGACTTACCGAGATTAATGCTGGGCTGACTATACCTCTTTTTTGTCCGGTTACAATATTGATGACGGCTGTCTGTGTCCCTTTAATGTGCCCTGCTATTAGTGTTGGTTCTGAGGACACTTGTGCCATGTTTCCAGTCCTTATGGAATTTTCGAGGTCTGTGACGTGTGCTTCCATGTTTTTTTTTTTTTAGTATAACAAATTTATTTATTTAACGTTGATCAGCCAACTTAATGGCTATAAAACGTTGTGTACGAATAGGAATAATTAACATGAAAACATAACAAAAAAGGTGATTAACAATATTTACAATAATTGAACAAAAACAATTTTATTGCTTTAGGACTCGAGAGACCTGACGTCCTCTTGTCCAGAGATCACCGGGGTGCCTTTGCTTTAGTCTTCTTCTTGTTGTGATTCGGTTTGCCAGGGATGCTGCTAGATGGTTGGTGTGGGCTAGTAGACGGTCGTTGTAACGGCTTGAGTGCATGTTAATCTGCTCTCGCACCGTGGGGATGTGAAGATCGCAAGCTAGGACATCGTTCCTTACGTACCAAGGCGCATCCGCAATCGTACGTAGCGCCCGGTTTTGAGCTCTTTGGATCCTCATGACATTTGAGTCTGAAGCGGTACCCCATATTTGTATGCAAAACGTGAATGAAGGAACCATTATCGACCTGTACAGAAACATCTTGTTGCTAAGGCTGAGCTCACTTGTACCTTTAAGCATCCAATTTAATTTCCGCAGTTTGGCGCGACATGTTGCTGTAATTTTAGTTATGTGCTGCCTCCACGTAGGACGTTTGTCCAAAATCAAGACCAAGTACTGAGCCTGGGCTGATTGCGGTATGACTGTGTCCTGGAATTTCACTCTGGGGTGAATTTTACTTCTAAGAGAGAAGTTGCAGTGCTGAGACTTATTTCCGTTTATCGAGATATTCCATCGATTCGTCCATTCGCCATACAAATCCAAAAAGTTTTGTGTGATTTGGGTTGCTTCAATTCGACACGTGGAGTTGGCAATAAAGGCTGTGTCATCAGCATATGTAGCCAAGAGGGTACCCAGTTCCCTAGGGTATGGCAGGTCAGCGGTATACAGAGTGCATAGAACCGGACCAAGAACGCTACCCTGAGGTACGCCAGCTCGAATGCATCTGATGGACGATCTTTCGCCTCTCACATCTACCATAAAATTTCGTTCTAAGAGATACGATTTCAGGAGAATATATTGGGCAGTAGGCAGGAGAGTTTTCAACTTAAACAGCAAGCCATCGTGCCAAACGCGGTCAAAAGCTTATTTGACGTCAAGAAAGACTGCTGAACTGTACTGCTTGTTCTCGAACGCTCCAAGGATGTGCTGTGTTACCCGATGTGCTTGCTCTGGGGTTCCATGGTGACATCTAAAGCCGAACTGGTGGTCTGGAATGGCGTCCTGCACACTTCTTACTGCCCTCATTCTACTAAGGAATATTCTTTCGAATATTTTAGAGAAGGTGGGCAGTAGACATATTGGTCGGTAGGATGCAACAAGGTTTTCCGGTTTTCCTGGCTTGGGTATCATCGATATCACAGCACACTTCCACTGTGTGGGAAAATGGTGGATACGTAGCATGGAGTTGAAAAGAAGAACTAGAAAAAGTATACCCTTCCTAGGTAACGCCTTGGCAATTCTGCTGTCGATCCCGTCGAAACCGGAAGCCTTACTGCGTTGCAGCTTGCGAATTTGAAGGCAAACCTCTTCCGGACTCACATGTGGGATAGGTTCGATCGCCGAGGAGGGGGCATTTAGGAGTGCTAGGGTATTATCCACGTCTATCTAATGGAGAAGCAAAGAAATACAAGGTGAGTTCCAAAGTAATCAGGACTTTTTTAATCTAGCGCCCTCTAGTGGCGCCATCTATATGTCAACTGCGTTAGAATCTGCTATCGTTTATCGAATTCCAGTAAACATTTCATGAAAGTGAGGTTATTGCGTTTTAAGTGACAGTATGTTTTTGTCATCGGTGCGAAAATGAGCTTCGAACAAAGAGCCAACATTAAATTTGGTTTTAAAATTGGTTAAACTTTTACCGAAACGTTTCAATTGATGAAACAAGTTAATGGCGATGATTGCCTATCCCGTAGCAGAGTGCACGAGTGGTATCATCGTTTTCAAAGTGGTCGTGAGGACATAAATGACGATGAACATGTGGGCCAACCAAAATCCCTGATCACCGAAAATTCCATCGAAACTGTGCGTGAATTCATAAAAAATCAGCCGAAATCATCATTAAAATTCATGGAAATATAATTGAACATCTCCAGAACATCGATTTATCGCATTTTGACCGAACATTTGAACTTACAAAAGGTGTGTGCACTGTTTGTTCCGCACAAATTGACTGACGTCCAAAAATTGCTCAGAATTCAACATTGGAAGGACATCATTAAAGAGGCAAAAAAAGACCCGAACTTTCTTTACATGATTGTGACTGGTGACGAAACGTGGTGTTTTCAATATGATCCCGAAATGAAATGCCAGAGTGCTGAATAGAAGGCGCCGGACGAGCCGAAACCCAAAAAATCGCGCCTGGAGAAGTCAAAAGTGAAGACAATGCTGATTTGTTTTTATGATTCCAAGGGTATTGTCCACAAAGAATTTGTTCCACCCGGTCAACGCGTGAATGCGGTATTCTACCTTGGAGTTTTGAAGCGTTCGGTGCGCCGTATTCGACGTGTGCCCGTATATCGCGAAGATGGAAGTTAGCGTTTGCTGCACGATAATGCGCCGTCTCATCGATCGACGCTTGTGTCCGACTATTTGACCAATAATCACACTTTAACCATCAACCACTCCCCGTATTTACCTGATATGGCACCGTTCGACTTCTACCTTTTCGGAAAAAGGCATTTGCCGATGAAAGGAAAGCGTTATGCAGACGTAGAGGCCATTCAAAAGGCTTGCACCGGCATACTGGCGGCCATACCGGGCAACGAGCTAAAACACTCGTTCGACATGCTTTTGGACCGTGCAAAACGCTGTATTAAAGCAGAAGGAGACTATTTTGAATAAAAAAACTATTTGCCGAAAAAACTATTTGTTCTGTCTTTTTCTAAAAGTCCCGTTTACTTTGGAACTCACCTTGTATATACAATATTTTTTTTTTTAATTTTCTAATTTAATACTTACTTGGAAATATTTGTAATCCAAACATAGTGATATTTGTCATCTTTCTCGAGCAGTAGTAGATATATAGTGTGTAAGACGTTGCTAGTTTTATTATTAGTTAAACAATATGGACCGATGATTGCCTTTTCATCGCTGTCTACACCCAACACAGTTATACTAATTTCAGGATTATTTTCTTCAAATATTTTTATGCTGTTGTAACCCACTAAAATTTAACGATTTATTATTTGTATTTATTATATCCGACCTAATGTTGTAAATGCCTTTACGTTTATATTGATTAGGTCGATTCTTACTATCAGGAAATTTCACAAAAGCCGATATTAATGCCCATTTAAAACAATATTCGTCTCTATTTTGCACGTTGATGCAGGCTTTTTTGTTTACTATTTCTCTTGGCAAGTCAATGAAATTCGTATTTCACTAGCGACAGGATTGTTATTAGGTCCAGGATTGTTATTGTTATGTAAAACACCAGCCATTTTTGTTTTTAAATATTAATTAAAAAAGTTTATTGATCTTTAGTTTTATTTCCCTTCCTCGATATACAAGTTTATAGTATAATTATCTCCTTCCGATTGATGCTTGATTAGCTTGTAGCCCCCCGACGCAATGTGCTCCACAGCTTTCGGAGGCAGCGAACTAAAGCGTTCTGGTAGGAATACCACAAAGTCTTTGCACGTAAGCAAAATTTTTTCGCCGAAGCGTGCCCGTTTTACTTCGGCGTTCTGTATCGGGATCGGCGTGTAGAACGGCAAAGCTTTAACACTCTTTATTGGGGGTAGAGAGTCGGCGCCAAGCTCGTACCACTGATCTTCAAAGTTAGACATGCTGCTGATAGTGCGAGTGACTTCTTGCTCTGAATTTGACTTCTGCTTTCTGAATTACTCTAGTACTCTACAACTCATATTTATACTAGTTTGCGAGACGAAAAAGTCTTAGAAAGTTTGCGATAAATACTTATATTTAAATAAAAAAAATACTTTCATTGACTGATAACAATATATATAACAATGTTTTACGATAACAATATATATATAACCTTAAAACGAGAGTGGGAGGACAAGTGGGAGGGAAGTTTAATCAAAAAAAATAAAGGAACCCAAAACACAAATTTCTAAATCTATCTGCTGGTGCTGGTGCTGGTGCTGGTGCTGATGCTGCTGCTGCTGACAAGGAAGATCCGCGACTAAATAAGATGCTTATATCCAGCATTGTTAACTCTGTTGCTAAACGAGGATCTATCAACATTGAAGACGCTGTTGCTGTTGCTGATAGAGAAATTCAAGACCTAAAGGACGAACAGTAGGAACACTACTTACGCCAGGAGACTACAGAGCCTTACGTCCCATCAGGGGACAATTCATGTGGGGGGCTTTTAATCTAATGCAACGGTATCGCTTTTTGCGTGATAACTTGTCTAAAAAGCCAAAAATTATTATTAAAGATGATGACGACGTTTACGGTGCGGCGTACAGAATAAGGAAAGAAATGATTAGTTATGAGATTGAAACCTGCGTTAATGCAGATGACTTAAAGAAAGAAATCTATGAATTTTCTATTGAGTATGAGGATATTCTGCCCGATTTTGATTTAAAGACCTTACGCAACATGAGGAAATTGATGACGGTAGGGGCGCATATATCAGACAACGATATGAAGATTTCACGCAACTTTAGAAAACGGTTCAGGGTAGGAGTTTATATTTTAATGGAACGCTGTCAGGATTTGGGTGAGAGTTGATAGACGTTAATAATTATATACACATTTAATAACGTATATATATATATATAATAACCTATCAACAATATATATATACATATATCAATAAAAAAACTTATTTACTCCTGAAAACAGAATCTCTTAATATGCAACGTTCTCATTTCAGCTTACAGTCACAAAAAAACAATATCATGCCAGGTCTGTGAGAACTATACACTGTTAAAAACAAAACAAAAAAAAGGTATTGTTTCTGTGCAACGATCTATGGCTAGTATTAATATTCACATAATATGGCACTAGAACGCTGAA